CGAAATGAAGGAAGCACAAAATCGGGCTCAATAGGTATGCATTGAATAGAGCTCGTCGAGATCTACTTGGAGGGTGTGGGTGGGGAAGGGGGTGGGGGTGTGTGTTTGTTGATTTTCTCATCACACCCACACCCACACCCACAGCCACACCCTCACACCCACACCCCACCCACACACCCCACACCCAGACACCCACACCACACCCACACACCCATATCCCACACCCACCCACGCCCACCCACACCCACACCACCCACCCACACCTACACCCACACCCAATTCCTATTTTCTCGATTCCGATAGCATTGTACCGCAAAATGAATATGATATTCGGAATCAGCGAGCAAAACTGCATCGGATGATGTATGACACAAGACATTTTCTACCAAAAAAAGTTTTTCGGAAATCTGGGCAAGGGTTCCCCTCAAGTGTTTCACCCCGAAAATTTTTTTTTCAAAAAATGCTTTGTTTTCGTAAATTCGATTTTCTAAGTAATATACAAACAGTTTTGAGTAATGGCAACCCGTTTCAAAGCACAATAGTTACATGTCCGCCTGCTTCATGAAAGTTGCCCACTGTGCACCCCACACCCACACCCATACCCACACCCACCCACACCCGTAGAAATACCACAACCAAATCCAAGATAACTTTTTTATTGATGGAAAGAAAAAATTAAATGACACGAAAATTCAAAGAAAAATGTTAACTGTTGATTATGATCTTAATTCTCTCTTTTATGACGAAGAAAATAATTATGAAAACGACGCTGCATCTATTTTGTTATCATAGAAGAATTGAATATGTTGTGTATTCTTCAACAATCGATGGGGTTTGACTTGTGTTGGGCTAATATTAGTGGTCACTAATATTTTGTTTAAAAAGATCGAGAATGTTCCTTTTCGAACAACAATACAAATGAGTGAACCAATTTTTCCAGCATTACGATGATCTTTATAGATGTCATTTGCTTCGCAAAGTTGTCGTTCAATTTCAGACATGGCGTCATTCAACACTATGCACTGTTGTCGATCAATAATTTTGTTTTCTGATTGAGAGTTATTGTTAAATAACTCTAAGAACATAACATATCGAGATGGAAATGTATCTAGTTTCGGATATAATGTAAAATCATAAATGTCGACATTTATTTCTTGTTGTTTCCATATCTGAACAGTTCGTTGAAGTGCATCCATCACATGTTGTTCAGTCGTATTCTCTCCTGTTATACTGATAAGGTTTCCGACACGATATGCAATCGAAACGAGAGGTATACGTGGTATTTTTTCTTGTTCAAATGGTAATGGAACTGTGTTGTCTGCTTGGGAAAGATATCTTGTACAATAGACTACATCTCCCAATCGATAGCGAACCAATCCAGAATCGGTAGTGCAGACTAATTCATATCTTTGTCCTGGTTCGATTTCTGAGATGAGCAAAGTTTTTGGTTGAGCCTTAAAAGCAACAAAATAAAGCATTTTAGGAAAATTAGATTTCAATATAATTTCTATGATAATATTTTGCAACAGAATGAAAATTATTTAATTGTAAACATAATCAAGAACTTCATACTTAGAATTCTATCATAAGAAACATGACAACATGTCTAACGATGGATTAGTGAAGTTCTTAGATTGGAAATTTCGAATTGATTACAAATTTAGACAAATAGTTAAACTTGAAGACTCCAACGAGAAAACTGTTTGAATTACGTAATTCGCTGCTTTTGATCCTGCAAGTTACCTATAAGTAGCGGACTTGTAGATTAAGAAAAGTACGAGGCAATATGAATTGATGTTATTATTTGTCTGGAATAGAAAATCTTTACAGAAAACTTTCTGTAGAACCCTGGTTTTCTGTCAGAATCATATTTTCGAACTTTAGCATGGAAATTTGCACACAGCAAGAACGAAACAAAACCAGCTTTTAGTTTCGATATGTGCGAAAAGTTCGAAAATATGGTTTTGCTAGAAAATCAGAGTCCCACAGGAAGATTTCAACAAAACTTGTTCATCTAAATCAAATAATACCATTAGCCCAAGAGCGAGATATCGTTTCGAATGGTTCCCTTGTAAAACATCTTAATTTCAAAAAAAATCGTCGAAGATTCAAAATTCTGATTTCTTCCGTATCAAAATTGATGCTCTCATTTTGTTTCGACAAGCTAAAGAAGAGAGAGAGATCTACAAAACATTAATCTTATTCTGGTCTAACTTTTCTTTACAACCATAAGCAATCTTTATCACTTTAGTCCCTGTGATGTCTTTAAGCCTCTTATAACTCACAGGTACTAAAGCTACTAAAGGGGTTAAAGAGACGACAGGAACTAAAGGGAGTAAAACAACTAAGGGCATAAAGATTGCTTACAGTTATAAGGATAAGTTAGACCGAGATAACTTTAATATCTTGTGGACCTATACAAGAAGATCATCTTGATTTTCTCATTAAAGATTTTAATATCAATTGTAGAATCAAACTGATTATATAGAAAATCTAAAATGTAACGGTTTTTGGTTGTTTGTAGTTTATTCTTTTATATATTCATAGAAGAAATACAGCACAAAGGAAAAGGAGAAGAAAGGGAAGAAGGATCGAGCCAAGAATGACTGATGAACAATAGACAAACAGATGTATTTATATTTATGTGTATGTGAAGGAGAGAAGCAGAGGAAAAGAAGAATAGAAAGAAGATATTGACGATATGAAGAGGAACTGCTCACAACCATAAGTGTATGATCGATCAATCCGTTACATAAACAACATACCTGATTGATGTCTTCTTCTTTAATAAATTCGAAAAATGCTGTTGATGGTGTTAGAAAATATTCATCTGTATGAATGCTCGCCAAGGCTCCAAAAAAGCCCTCACTTGAAAGATAGACTGCTAAATTAATTAGAGGTAATTGTTCTCCACAATAAAATTCGATTTCTTTCTTGTACACGGCAAACGAACTTCCTATTGCAGTAGATGCAAAACCTAGTTGTGGCCAAATACGATGAAGTAAACCCGGTGTATTTTTTTTGAGACATTCTATTCGAATTTGGTGAACTCGTTCCGATCGATAGGACAATCCACCATATTCCAAAGATAAATTTTCTAAAGCTTGATTCAAATTAGTTCGAAATTTTGTATCACGAATATTCTTACGAACAAGAGAACTATGATAGAAATCCGTGTCAGATATGCAAAGACACATTTCTTCAAAATAAGTTTCAATTAATTTTATACTATGAAGAAATGCTGTTGCGAATGGTATTGAATAAGATGAAAGATTCGGAACTGTCAGCGCAAAAACTAATTGAATAAATGTACTTGTTTCATAATCCGAAATGCCTTCGATTAATGTAAGATCCGTAACATTACTAGCAGATCCAAGTGTTTTCATTCCAGGAATAAGTTTAACACTTGACATCCATTGACTTATAGGGCCTATCGGCGTACCATCTTTTGATCTTAAAAACATGTTTGATCTTTTGCCTGTTTGGTAAGCGAACAATCGTCGGTCAGCAGCAGGATACGATGATATAGGAAGTGATCTATATATAGCAGTATATCCGATACAAAATATCATCATCATTCGTTTTAACATTCGTTGAGTTATGGGAAGCAATTTTTGCTTTCCAGTAGTTCCAGAACTAGTAGCAAAATAGACGATTCTATCGGAAGAGAGCAAGTTTTTCTCTCCATCATTCATCATTCGATCGACGTAATCACGATAATTTTCATATGTAGTCAATGGAAGTTTTTGTTGAAATTCATTAATGAATAAATTTTCTTGTTCTTCGTTTGAAAATGGTGAAGAAATATGTGAAGATGGAAATGAAATCGATCGATCTGTGAAAAAGGCACATGATTGATTGTTTTTAAGAATATTTCTCAACAGATCATTATTAATCTTCTGCAGATTACAAAGTGAATCTCGATAGTAAGAGGCAAATGCATCATTGTCTCCTGGTCGTATATATCGATCTGTTAAATTTTTTCGAATTTGTATTCGAAGAAATCTGTTGAACATACATCGAATATATGGTGCATAAGAAATGAATACGATGCAAATAATGCTAAAAAGGCAGCTATAAACGAAGTAAGTGAATAGATTGATATGGTCTTGTTGAAATATAATGATTTGTATCTTAGATAGTATCGACTCCATGTTTTAATGGAGAAAAAAGAAATACTTTACTCTTTTTATTCTAAAAATAAAAGAATCTTATCTTATCACATACACGTGCAAGTTATAAAACATTGTATATCAGGTATATATGTGGGCTTTTTTTTCTAATGCATTCGTTTATTCAAGGGTATGGGTGTGGGTGTGGATAACGTAATCATTCATAGAACCACGTCCACATCCACCCCACACCCACATCCACCCCACACCCACATCCACCCC